TATTTTGACTTCATGTATAGTTATGATAGAACTTATGTTTATACATTTGTTTTTGAACTTGACAAGATAACCGGCTAGTTTGGAGGGACTTGGTTTTTATAGTTTTTAAATGTCTCTAGACAATAATTTTGTTTATGTTAAATCATATAGATAATATGTTAGTCTTTCTACTTTGTATTATTTAATTTTTTAAATTTAAAAATTAATAAAATTATATTATCGCGTCTAAAAAAAAAAAAACTGATCTGATTTTGATGAATTTTAGCTTGTTAGAATTGCCACACTAAGAAGAATCAGAATTCAGTATCAGTTTTTGGGTAGTCAGTCTACTGAAAAAAATTTTCTACACTTAAATTTCATTAAGTAAGAATTTTTGATGTAAATCGCTAAATAACGCAAATTGGTTTTAATAATTATACTTCAAATTTTTACTAAATATTAGCTAGGTTTTGGGGTTTAAAACAAATATAAAACCATATTTCTAGCATTCGTAATTGGTGAGTTATAAGCTTTTAAAGGCAAGCAACTCTACTTGCATTTCTTTTGTAAGCTCCTGTATATATTTAATTATTTTGATTCAGTTTGGTTGATTTGATTTGATTTGATTTGATTCGATCAAATATTTGATTTGATTTAATTTGATTTTGCGGAACTCTAACTACTATGTTAAAGTTTAACAAAGAATTGAAGCAAGAATTTCTTTTGCATATTGTTCTCCACTAATTTGGTTATTAATATTTAAATTATTAATATTATTAGTTTTTTAAGTTGCATTTGTGATTCTTGAAGTGACTTACTCATATTGGAATTTACTTTTATATCATATTGATTAAATAAACCTTTGATTTGCTGTTGATGAATAACGATACACCAGATTCTATGTTTAATGAAATCATAAATGAGAGGAAATTTTCATAGTGATTTTGAACTTGAAATTGCAAATTCTTTAAATTGTTGAGAAAAGTTTTCATCATTTAAAGTTCAAATATATTTTTAAGACCATTATTGTAATCTTTTTTTAAACTTTTAATATATAAAGTTTTATTAATTGTTAGTGTTTTTTTATATTCAATAGAAAAAAACATTAAGAAATATACATGCAAATTCATTACCAGAATTACCTTCTAAGTAGCAAATACTTAAAGATAAATGAATTTACATTTTCATCCACTTTGAAAATCCTTCTAAAGCTTTTTGCATACCTTAAATAAATTTTGATATAAATTGTCAAAATTTTCTGGTGATAAATTATTTTTTGCTTCATTTAACTTCTCATTAAAAATGCTAAAAATATCTAAAGTAGCATTTTCTAATTTATTAATCCATATCATCACTTGATCTGACATTTCATGAGCACAATTACCAGCTAGAAGTAATTTAATACTATTTACTTGATAAATTTGAGGTATTGTATCATAAGAAATTAAAAAATCATAAATTGGATTATAGATATATTCATCAAACTTAACCATACATTTAAGTTTTAAATTAAGTTCCCTATTATTGATCTATTCATTAAATAAAATCCATTTTTGAAGATATGATTTGACCATTTTTTTAATTCCTGAATAATCTAAGAAGCAAATTGCCAATAGATTGATAGTCAATCAAAATATTGCTGTGCTGTTTTTAATTTATAAGTCTAATATTGTCGAATAGGTTGTTGATATTTTTTTAAATTATAGTTTAAAATAATATCATATACAGTAATTGCTTAATAATATTTGACATTTATATTACATGATATATCTTTATCACTCATATTATATCTGTTATGTAAATAAAATGCTAAATTTAAAATATTAAAAGGATGCTCTTTTAAGGATAAACTAAAAAGTGATGTAATTTTTTCAAAAACAGTATTTTCAAAATTCATTATTGAAATATGTGATGCATGTAATCCACATGAAATCTGAAAAGAATTTGTATCAATAAAAGAATTAAATTTTGTGATAGTATCTTGTCTTAAAAATGACATATATGCAGTATTATCAGTTAACCAAAAATAATTTTTTGTTAGATCTAAAAAGTATCTATTACAAATTTTTAAAGTTTTTTGAGTTACTGTTTATGCATTACATCATAGAATATTAACCATTTTTAAAGTCATAACTGTTGGTCTATTTAAAATTGAATTCCAATAAGCTATACAAATTAATAATAATTTTTGTTCATCACGTATACTTTTGTCAACCATAATTCCATATCCAAAAAAAATTGATTTAGTATTATTAGGATGATGCTCATTAATAGCTAATCTAGCAATTCCTTTATTTCATTATGATCTAGTTTTTTTTGCAATCCAATGAATGTTCTGCTGGTTCTCCAACAACAAATTCATAAAATGCTTTAGTATATTCTGTCGTGGCTTATATAGAAGTTCCTCCAATTAAACTTATATTAGTCGTTAGTTTTACCATTTGTGTTGATAATGTGACTGCATAAGCACTATGATCGCATGACTATGATGATGACTATGACCATTATATACACATATGAAAAAATTGTGAACATGCTACAATGCAAATAACGCTATTAAACGCCATTATTAATTTTAATAAAAATTACTAATTGATGTTTAGCGTAATCATCTTATGACGCAACTTTGCAAATTATCTATCAGATTTATATTGCAAATTCATTAGACTCGAATAGTTCAATTCCAATTAGTTTTAACAATTATATTATAATAAAAAGTTAAAAAATGTTTATAATTTATAATACATTATCAAAATTTATTTTTTTTTCAATTAAACTATAAAATTTAAACTTTCAACAAAGAAATACAATTAATTAAGAAAGGCTCTATAGATCTACAAAAATCAAAGACTAAATCAAATTTCATTCTAAAAATAACATGTGAATGCAAATGATATGAATAAAAAAATACAATGCAATCAACACCATCAAACACCATTATTAATTATAAAGAAAAATTACTAGTTTAAGTTTAGCGTAATCATCTTTCAATGAGAATCCAATTAATTAAAAATGTGTTCCATATAATCTGCAAAATTTTTTAAATAACATATATGCAGTTAATTACTTTAAGTTAAATTATATGTCAATCAAAGTTTTTACTGATTAAGAATAACCAAATACTTTTTTTTTTATAAATAAGCGGGCATTTTTTTAATCCAAACTAGGGTATTTTTATAATATAACAATTACTCCACAATTATTAATTTTAATTTAATCTCACTCCTTTTTCATTTATCGAGTTATATCGATATTAATAAACAAATTTAATATCTCGTTTCTTTTTTTTTAAAAAATGAGTTTTTATAAAAAAATTAGCAGTGAAAGTTACTTTAACTTATTTGGTAATTTAGAGATTACGTCTATGCCATCAACTCCAATTATAAATGATGATGATAAAACATCATCTGATATAATCATCGAAAATAAACTAGTGAAGAATATAGATAATGAAATAGATTCCAAACAATCTTTTAAACAAAATGAATTTTTCTCTTTTTTTAATTTAAACGATAATATTGAATGTATGGATAATTATGTTAGTTTAGACAATGATTTTTCTGAAACAGATTCTTTTGATAAATGCATAATAAATAATGATAATAACAAAGATAAATAAAAAATGCATATTCTTTTTATTAATAATAATAATAATAACTTTTTTATCATAGATATATGTATTAAAACTGAAGATTCTGATGACGAAAATGATATTACAGAAATTATAATCGAGGAAATTGACAAAGTATTTCATTCAACTTGTACAATCATGACTATAGATTCAAAAGCTAAAAATATTACTAAATGTCAAAACTCAAGTATTCAAAAATTATGGCAGTTGATTGGAATTTAGGAAGTTAATTCAGAATCTGTTAAAGAAATAAAGGCTGAACCTAGTAAACTCTGTATTTATAAAACACATTTTAATTTAGATCAAACCTTTCATGAAACAGGTCTTAAAGCAAAAATATCAAAAGAACAATCTATGATTATAATTAGAAAATATTTTTTTTGCAATTTAGATTTTTATATTATATCTTGTAGAAAGTTATGTTATTCATATTCTTAGAGTTTAATCAAAAAAGATTTTTTAATTCTTTGTATAACACAATTTTCATGTTCAGCAATACAAAAAAATTAAGAATCATTTATTTTTGAAAAAATTTTAGAAAAAAAGGCTTTAAAATATTTATGTTATATTTGTCAAATTTGTTTTAATAAAAATGGTAGACATATTCACATTCCTCCTGAACAAGAAAAAAGGCATATATCTTGTATAGAAAATAATTATCACAATAATGATATTGAAAAAAGTTTGGAATTAATTAGTAAATAGATTTTGAATGTTGCGAAATCACAAGATTCATTATTACAAGCCCAACTTTTGTCTCAATTATCTTATTCATTAACAATAATGATGTCAGCCGAAACTCCCTCAAAATAATTTCATCATATCCCTTACTATGTTTTTAATATAGTTTCAGCTAATTTCAGGTTTTGGGGTTTCGTCGTACCCCTCATTATGTTTTAATATAGTTTCGGCTGTTTATTAATTGCCTTTTTTGAGTTTCGTTCCTCATCTTTAATTAACAATAAATAATAAAAATATTTTAAATATTCCTTCAGCAAATATTTTATCACCAAGCTTATTTATAGTCAAATTAGCACTTAAAATTGAAAAAGTTAATAAAATTGCAATAAACAAAAATCTTCAAATATCATTACAAGAAAATTATGAATTTGGTCAATTTTTAGGTAAAAACTTATTATGTTTGCAGAATGAGATACAACAAAAAAAAGAAAATTTTTCTAATTCATCAACTTTATTAGAATATTATAATGCTTTTCTAGAAATAATCATCAAGTTTTTTTTTTGGAACTTATCAAACCATTATTAAAAAAATAACATGAGAATGCACATGCTAAACAAAAAAGAAGAGCAATTCAAAAAGGAGTTGAATATATATATCAAAATTTAGATACATTTAGATCAATTCATATAGTATCTTTTTTAACTTCTGTGATTTTGACTATAACAATTAAATTACACATTTTGGCTTACTTATTTATTAGCAAGTCTTTGTTAACAACCTTCATTTTTACCTTCATTATAAGTTATTTTGCAAGCTGCTCATATTATTACACATATACAAAAACACGAAAGTAGATTAGAATTAAAAAGAATGAAAGAAATTTTGCAAAAGAAAAATTAATTCATGAACCTCACATTTGGAATCTTGCTATAATTGACAATATTGATTTTATGGCAAAATCATTTTGATGGGAAAATTTATATGATTCCCCTCATAATACTTCACATGCAACTCTACAAATAGTTTTTCAATTTATATTACCACTTCCTCTTTATGCAATAACTTCAAAAAATTCATTAATGATACCTAATAACCGACGAAGTTTATTTGGTTATAATTCATATTCAATAGAAACTTTAAAATTATTTACAGTAGTTTTTCAAAAATTTTTATAATGTGAATATATTGATGGATATTTATATTTTTTTAATAATTTTGACGATAGTAATATTCATCAAAAAATTTTATCGTATATTTCAAAAGAATGCTATAATATTCCACCTCCTAATATAATTATATTAGAAGCTGATGATAAGCCTAATAATGATGAAGGAATATATGAATCATGTGAAATGTATCTTGAAGATATTGATCTTACACCTGTATTAGCTTTTAATAATGATAGATATTTAGAATTTCAAGAACGTCTTGATATTGCAACTGATAAATCAATCTTTAGACGTATTATTAATTATAAAATAATAGCAAATCTGCATACAAGAATTTTATTTGGATCTTGGTATTTAAATAAAGATATGTGCGAAGTTTTAATTAATATTTTTTCTGGTTATGGAATTTTTAATTTGCTGTTGCACTTGGCGTAAAGTATTTGACTAATTTTCAAAAATGTGTTGATTATTGAGCTATTTCAAGAACTTTAGATTTAATTTGGACAATAATAGAAATAGCATTACATTTATATATGGCAATAAATTTAGTTACTATTGATGATATTTTTAAATCAAAAAATGAAATTGTAAAAGTTTGGGCATATTATTGACAATGGGCGGGATTATGAAAAGGTTACAAAATAGATATACGAACTGGAAATTTTGATATACAAATTGAAAATTTAAAAGCATTTTCTTCTTTATTTTATGTAGCAGAAAAATTAAATTATGCAAACTCAGTAGTACATGCTTTACATAAAATAGATTCAGATCCATGTTTAAAAATAATCCTTCGCAATGTAGCTTTTGTAAATATAATACAGGCTAATCATTTTTTTGCATTTGATGAGGCACTTGTAACTTATGGAGTTAAATTTATTAAACAATCTTTAATATCACGTGTAATAGATTTAAAAATACTTAAATTATAAATTAAAGCAGCATAATTTGAAATTGAACGATTAAAAACACTATTAATAAAATTTTTACAACTAAAAGAATTAAAAATTACAAATAATCATGTTATTTTTTCAAAAAAAGAAATTATTTGGAAATTATCAATAGAATTATTTGATTTATTTAAAAATCCATTAATATAAAACAAAGATTTCTGCAAACTACGCCTCAAATGAATCAAATTAGATATAACAAACTTGCTATGTGTTATAAAAATGAAAAAATACGTATGAATAAATTGTATAAATAAGAAATTACTTATAAGGAATCAAGAAATACATCAGGAAGGCATGCTACTGAAGTTGTAGTTTATTTATACCTATGAAAAAATTCAAAAAATATTTAAAGAAACCAAAAAAAAGATCAAGAATAAACCAATATTACAACCACAAAATAATTCTAATTTGAAACCTGAATCCTCTACTACTAGAATACATAAAAATATATCTAATGAAGAAAATAGAGAAATATTACATAAAAGAACATGTAGCAGAGCTATAAATGAAGAAGTTAATAAATTACAACCACTTATTGAACAAAATGAAAAACCAACATCTGAGCAATTAGAAATAGTAGGAAAAGAATTAAATTGGGATAAAAAAAGAGTCAGCAATTATATTAATTATAGAAGAAATAAAAATAAAAATACAAAGTAAAAAATCAATAAATGTTGAATATTTTTTATTTTATTTATTTAGAATGCATAAAATACAAATTGTAATTGAATTTTTAAATAAATTATCAATTATAAAAAAAAATATCATATTTCTAAATATAAATATATTTAAATTTGCAATTTTCATGATATTCTTTTTAATAATCTAAACGCGTTATAATAAAAATTGTAAATTGATTATAATTAAATAATAATATAAAAATTATTTAATATTTTAACTTTTAACTAAAAAAAATTTTTTAATTTATTTTAATTTACTAATAAAGAAACAAATTATTTTTCTTAAATACAATTTGAAATAAAAGATTAAATAATAATTTTTATTTTAATTAAAAATTAGGTTAAAGAAAATTAGACTTATAGTAAATAAAATGTTGAGTAACAAAAAATTTTTAAAATCGATTAGGATCAACGTATTCTATGACTGTTAGGATAAACCATTATTTGTTGGTGATTTGAGATTCAATAATTCTCTAATTTTATTAATCAAATTTTCTCTTTTATTTTTCATTCCGGTTTTATTGTTATTATTATCTTGAATATATTGAAGGAATTTCAATATCTCTTCATAATTAAAGTATTTTTATGTTGATTTTGTACACATCTACGCATTTCTCGTGCTTTTTTAATTGATAATATCGGTTTTTTTTTCAAGGCATCGTTTAAAGAAATAATCGTTAAGTGACGCAGTAATTATAGAAATAATTTGAATCGAAATGGATCAATAAAAATAATAAGTGGAAAAATTTTTTAATTCGTTTAAACAAGGATATATATTTAATTTAACAATGAAATTTTTTGTTTTTGTTTAAAAAAAAGTTTCGTTTAATTGTTAAAAAATTAAATAAATAATGAAAAAAATAACATTGTTACATTCATTTGTTCTAAAAAGTAATTTTCTTTTGTTAATTGCGCCATTTGATTTTTGTTTCAAATATATCGAATCTACCAAAAATCAGTTAAACGAAAAAAAATATCACTTGATGATCATCAATATGCAGTATTCTAATATTCGATTAACTAATATGCCACCCAGTAATGGATGCACAATAACGTAACGTCACAATTGACTAAGTAATAGGGTTTGTTAAATCCACTAGCGCCCGCAAATAATGGTATGAAAAACATATAGTGATGATACATCTAATTTTCTAGTTAATGATAGAATTTGGAGTGTTTTCTAACTACGGAGGCTAATCTTAGAAAAAGGAAGGAAAAGCGGTATTCTTTAAATGGTGACTTCGTATTTTGATAGCAATTTTGAAGAAATAATATTAGGAAATGTTTCGATTATTTAATCGATTTTTCTCAATTTTAACATGCCAAAAATACTTTGAAATCAATAAAAATTTACCCAATTGAACTTTATTTTTTGATGTGCATAAATAACCAAACGTAAATAAGCATACATATTATTAAAACTACATTGTGAGCGAACCCCTATAATAATTTGTTCAAAAAAAATATATTTAAAAAGTCTAATACAAAAAAACTAATTCAGTATCACATGGAGATCATATACTCAGCTAGAAAACAACAGGCTCCTCTTCTTCCGAAATACATCTAGCCAGTATAAATCGTGAGATTTATCCAACAACGCATAAGCTTCTGCCCCAGGTGGACCTTCAATTGTTGAACTCATTGAGGGTTGATAACAACTGATTTGATGTTCTCCGCAACTATCGAATTCAAATACCATTGTCTGGATCTTATTATCAGCCTTTCGAATTATAATGTTCGTGCTACGAAGGTCACCAAACACAAGGTTTTTACCGTGAAGCAAGTGAATTACCTTTGTGACATCGTTCATGATTATCAAATACTCCTTATCTGTAATTTCATCATCGCACAATGTGACTCCCTCAATAAGTTCCATCACAATAAACCACCATCCATCAACCACCGTTTTGTTTACATATAAGAGTTTTGGTGCAAACCCGTTAACAGCACACAATTTATGTGCTATTTCATTATATGTTTGAGCTAGTTTTACAACGATTTTACATTGCTTATCTGTCGTAGCTCTCCATATAAACTTGTTATGATCTTCCGTAAACCAATCATCATAAGTGAATGAAATGTTCATTTTCTTATCATCTTGGTATTCTCGAGGAAAGGGATAAAACCATTGACAATTAACATCTTTACTTAGGGTTAGCCCTTCATAGTAATTTTTTAAATAATCAAAGGCATGAAGCAATGCTTCAAATAGTCGTGATATCCTTTTGTGATAACTATAATGATGAAATGGTACCAGAGGTATGAAAGTAGTGAGAGGATCGATTATTCCTTTTTCAAGATAGACCGAGCCCAAAATGCATATCCACGGGCCAGCCAGAGCAATTATTATCGATGGACAATTGCAACTTCTTCGAAAGTCCCTAAACCTTTCTTGGGCCCAACGCCGAACATACGACAATGATCCTTGTATTGTAGGATCACTAAATCCAGTTCCGATCTCATTTTTTATTTCAAGTAGAAATAATAATGCAGATTCGTGAAACGATTCAACAGGTTCCGTTACAACACCATCGCTAGAAGTTTTGTCTTTGTTACTGATTTTCTCTATAGGCCAAATAATCTTTCTCAGATATTTTTCAAAACAATCAAGACGATCATCCTCAGAATCATAACCTTTTGACATATCTTGAATAAGAGGATCAACCATTTCCAATACCACTTTTGAAATAGGCAAATCTTCGTTTCTAAAGTCAGTAACGAACTTATTGAAAACCTTATTGTAAAAAAATACAGGTGGTCCCAAGCACTTGTAAGGGCGATGATTTAGAATAGCTGAAGAGGGGTTCTGGACTTCTTTGAAAAATACTGAATGGCGTGCAGATACTGATGGTGGTTTCATATTCAATATCTCTTGGATATTCTCATCTTGAACATTGTTATGATTTTGAGTGTTAAGGTTTAGGCTGGAAAGTTGACGACCATCAAGCTGTTGTTGTTGTTTCAGTGTCTCCACCTGCTTTTTTAAGTTTGCTACCTCTTGTTCTAATTCACTTTTTTTCTTTTTTTCTTTCTTCTTTTTTGATGGTGGTTCGTTTTCTTTACCTTCATTCTGCGTCCTTTTTAAACGGTTCTAGAATAAAGTATATAGCATAAAGCTTGTGAGTAAGATTCTTAATTGTAAGGACTAGGAAGGAACATAGCCAATTCCTCCTCCAGAATCGGCAGACCTAGTCAAAGAATCATGTGCACGTCGCATCGATGTAGTCCAGACACTCTTCTCCCTCACACTAGCAGAGCAAGGTGTAGCACAATTTTTATAGAGAAAAATGTGCATGTCGTGGCGTACATGTATGGCCGCTCTTCTTCCCCATACTAGCAGAACAGGGTGTAGCACACTCGTTGATATTTTTCAAGGATGTGAAAAATACTAACCTTTAATCGTAACCCACGTTGTATCGCTCGTGCTTTTTCGATTTCTCTAGTTTTTGGTTTAAGATTCTCAATTAAGATCTTTAATTATTTACCCAATGCATCGTGGGACAATTGATCCTTCACGTCTCGATTATTCTTTATAAAAAAGAAGTGATCCCACGTTTCCATATCCCCCCATTCAGAGAACGGCTTCTCCCAATATTCTGAATAGGGTATATATATAAGAATTAGAACATTAATAATGAATATTAATATGAATAAATCACTTACCTCGATATACTAATCGAGTTAGGACTTCCTCTGACAATGTCATATCGAAGAACAAGATAAATTGAGTCACATCCAAAAAAAAATCATGCCCATTATATATTAATAAGTGCCATTACATCAGTGACGGCACAGCACGTGTTCGGGTTACATCAACCAATAAAATTCGCGACAAATCATTATTCAGAATATGAGGTCATTTGCCAATCTTTTTTTTACCGTCTGAGATATCTACCAATCAAATAAATCGGAGTGATTGCGTTTCTTGTTAATAACACCTTTTTTTTAAATATATGATTCGTAGTTAGTTAAGTTATGTATCAAATTCCTTTTTCCACAATTAGGAAATTTTGCAGGAGAAAGCAATTCCCCAAATCCCATATGCGAAATATTGATTGTTCGGAAAAAATATCCATACCCGAATATTGATATATTTACAGCGCCTTCCCTTCAGCTAAATTTATCGTCACTGGCTGAGATTAGATGCAGTATTAAAAAGCTTTTATTTTGCGATACATTTTATAAATACAAAGTTCGGGTACATAGCCAGGAGACATGATCACGTTTTTCGTGATATAGATAATAAGTTTTTTATTACTACGTTATGCAACTGCTTCTCTTCCAATTTCACGACTCTTTCTCTAAGCTCATCATTTCTTGCTTCAAGCTCAGCTTTCTCGAACTCGAGCTCAGTTATCTTAGTTATAAGTCTGGCATGTTCTTCTCTAAGTAAGTCAAACTCGGATTACATTTTCAATAACACGAGAAAAAAATAATGCGAATATAGCATGGCAGACATTTGTATGATTGGTCAATTCTTATGTCGATCATTTCCTAATTATCAATGAGGTGATTAATTTTGATTGGCTCAAATTTTATTATTAAATTAAATAAGATTTT